TACGTCGCTGGCCCTCTATTCGTGATTTGTAATGGATTCGCCAAACTGTCGCTTCTCGTACTCTACCTTCAACTTTCTCCGCAGAAAAAGTATCGTGCTGCAGTCTGGGCCTCGATTTTATTCGTTGCCACCACCACAGCGGGTGTCGCATTCGTCATGATCGTTCGGTGCCAACCCATACGAAAGGGGTTTGATATCAAGATATCCGGGGGCACCTGCATCGACGCCGATCCGCTCTACATGTCGAACTCCATCGCAAATATTGTCACCGACATTATGCTGTTCGTTTTGCCGATCCTGATGATATGCAGTCTCCGGATGGGAATGGCCCAGAAGATGGGGGCCATGGCTATGTTTGCAGTTGGATCCATGTGAGTGGATTTCAGGGGTGCGTTTGGTTAGATTTGATGGCTCAAACATCACAGGACGATATCGACTTCCATCATCAAATTAGTGCTCCTGCCACAACTTCTCAGAAGCAGCGACCCGTCGTGGGATAGTGCTCCCGCAAACGTCTGGAGGTACGTCCTTCCACTCCTTCTGATATCACCTATGGATTCTGACGTTGGAATGATCAGCTTTGTCGAAACAAATCTCTTCATCATCTGCGGCTCCATGCCGACGCTGAGAAAATTCTTCCAGCACTTCACTCCTAGACTGTTACTACGGAGCGACACTTCCTCCATCTCTACCCGGAAACCGTACTTGATTCACGTAACCGACCCCAGCCAACCTTCAAGAGCAGGAACGACTGATTCAGATGTTACGAGCCCCCAGCAACTGTATCACGAAGAACTGTTCAGAGGATATCAGGGACACCAAAGCTTGTTAGATTTCAGGGAAGTGGCAATGGTGCCAGAATCCCCTCCTCTTTCCCGGCAAGGACCGATTATTCCGAAGAGTCTGGTATAGGCTCATATGGGCCACGGATGAAATTCAACATTTCAAAGCAGAGTTTTTAGACTTTTTGGAGCGACGCTGTGATACCCCTCTCATTATTCATCAATAATAATGCTTTGCTTCCTAAATCCTCATCTCATGTTAGGCTCTACCTGAAGTCTTCGTGCTGCTAAACACTGCGATTCGATCTATCAGTGAATAAGCGCAGGGCGATGATCGCTTGCACCGAAGTTTGTTTCGCTACAGTGAGTTTCTTGAAGTTCAGAGATGCAGATGCGGGGTGTAGCATGATTGTGGGGACGCTACCGCACGATCGCGCGCTTCCCGTGGACACCGAGTGGTGTATCGAGAATCACATTTATGTCCAGCAGTCTAGAATCTACGATAAACGACTCGGGGAGACTGACAGCAGTCATGTTGTCTTTCCGGAACCAACTCCCTGTCCGGGCAATTTTGTTTACATTGCGTCAGAATCCCTCGCCGCGACATGGGTCATTCCCGCAGTCTCAGTTAACATGTTGGGAAATAGTGCCCAGAGCTTCACTACCGCCAGCGATTGGGAACCTGGCTATGCTTGAAGACGTTTATTGTAGAGAATTCGAACAAATGATTCACCCAAGAAGCAACTCGCCGTGTGCCGTGCTCGGCATATGCTGGTGACGTAAAGCTGAGGGGCTCTATCGACCCATACAGGCATGTTACGCCCCGCCGAAAGGGGTAATCTGAAGCGCTCGCTTCCGTCGTCGGTGGTTACAGTGAAAGGCACACGTCGTATTCGAATACGCTTTCACTCTTCAAAATTATCGATTACAGTTACTTAAAGTGAGAAGATCAAGAAGATACTATCATCTTCATTGAACATCATGGTCTTGCCGCGGACTTTGACAACGGCAGCCGTGTTGCTGTCCTCGGTGGGCTCAACCCTGGCCGCCGAGAAGTGCACGGCCGCAACTCCCGACAAGCCCCGCGTTTTCCTCCTCAGCGACATCGCCAACGAGCCCGACGACGCACAGTCTCTGGTGAGACTGCTCGTCTACTCCAATGAGCTCCGCGTGGAAGGCCTCGTGGCTACGACGAGCGTGTGGTTGAACGACACCACCCGCCCGGATCAGATGCACGACATCGTCGACGCCTACGAGGAGGTGCTGCCCAACCTGGAGAAGCATGCATCCGGGTGGCCTGAAGTCAGCTATGTGAGGGGTCTCATCACTTCTGGACTGCCTGTGTACGGTATGGATGGCGTCGGTGAGGGCAAGGACAGCGACGGTTCCGAGAGGCTGGTGAAGGCGGTCGATGCCTCGGACGAACCCCTTTGGATTCCGGTTTGGGGCGGTGCATCTGTCCTCGCTCAGGCTCTGTGGCATGTCAACGCGACGAGGTCACAAGACGAGATTGATAAGTTCGTCTCGAAGCTGCGCGCCTACAGCATCTCCGACCAGGACGACACGGGCTCCTGGATCCGGAGAAACTTCCCACAGCTCTTCTTCATCGCCAGCATCCAGCACTTCAACCGCTACGCCCTGGCTGCTTGGGGAGGAATCTCAGGCGAGGAATACTATAACTTCCCTAGTCTCGCCAGCAAGGATGTTGTGTCGACCGATTGGATCAAGGAGAATATCCAGAGCGTCGGCGCCCTGGGCGGGAAGTACCCCGATGCCGACTTCATTGTCGAGGGAGACACGCCTTCTTTGTTGTACCTCATCCCCAACGGCCTCTCGGATCCCGAGCACCCTGAATGGGGTTCATGGGGAGGCCGTTACGGCCCGGTGACATATGGCGAGGGACACTTTGCGGACAGCGTGGACGTCATCAAGGACTCGGGCAAGACCATCATGAGCGCTCAGGCGACTGTCTGGAGATGGCGCGAGGCGTTCCAGAACGACTTTGCCGCGCGTATGAAGTGGAGCGGCAGCTCCGAGTTTGCCAAGGCCCCTCACGCCCCGGTTATCGTACTCAACGGGGACAAATCCCGCAGGGTCGTGAAGATGATCGTGAAGGAGGAGCAGGAGATTGGGCTAGATGCGAGGGAGTCATGCGATCCGGACGGAGGAGGCCTGACCTACAAGTGGTGGCAGTACCTGGAGCCTTCTTCCAACAACAACAGCCCCGGACGGGATGTTGGCAGGCTTGAACTTAGCGATACGACCTCGCCCATCATCACCGTCACCATGCCGTCGAAGGAAGTCCTCCGCGCCGAGGGCCGTAATCGCCACCCCAATGATTACAAGCACCTGCATCTCATCCTCGAGGTCTCGGACGGTGCCTTGGTTTCATATCGCCGCATCGTCTTCACCATCCCGGGGCCCAAGCCTGGCGACGCGACTTCGACGTCTGCGAAGGCAGCTGAGAAGACTGAAGCTCATGATGAATTGTGAAAAAGGATATCTTGCCGTAGAAACCATACATTTACCAGAGCCGCTGTTACCCCAGAAGTCTTGTAATACAGGCTATGCAGTAGCTGAAGAAGAAGAAACAAAAGTCTATGCCTTTTCATGCAAATGCAAATGATGACCGCCCCGCCTCCGCCAGCCTTTTTCATGACAGGAAAAATGTGAGAAACATGTTCCACGCGAAGCCGACCGTCATCCCCACCAGCGCCCTGTACCCGACAGGCACAAAGCAGAAGTTGCAAAACGCCACCAGTGGCCACAGCTTCCACGCCGCCTTGATCAAGTCGAAGATCCTCTCGCTCCAAATCTGGTACGTGATGGTCGCGCTCCCAGTTCTCAGCGCCGACGTGATGATGAGGAAGGCCGAGTTCATCATGAACAGACCCAGCGTCTGGTCGACCACGACTTTACGCGCGACATTGAAGTAGTTCTTCCCCGCGGGTGGTTGCTGTCCGCCGACGACGAGCAGTTCCGGCTTGTCCGGCTTCTCCTCCCCCTTTTCGATAGACGACGATGATGACGCCGCCGCTTTGGCCGCTGCCTTGCTCGCCGAGTTGGGAAACTGGTCCTCGAGGAAGTGCTGCCACCAGTAGTTCATATGTCCCTGGATGAAGCCGAACGTCGCGAACTCGAAGATGCGCCGGACATCGAGCGGCACGGCGCCGCCCTGCCGGTGCTGGTTGACGATCTGGGCCGTGAAGTTGGCGGACGCTTTGAGGGTTGCCGATTGTAATGCCGTGGCGAGGAGGCCGGGCATTGTGGGCGCGAGAAGGGGGGCGAAAAAAGCAAACCAGCGGGCTTTTGCGAATGAGAGCGAGCGAGGGGTGGCTGGCACTTTATTCCCCCTGTTGAATACTATTGAAGGGTGTGGTGTGGCTTGATATCCGAGTTAAGGGGGGCTGCGCTGGTGATGGTCGTTGTCGTCGGCGTTTGAAGATGCGGTGTGTTTTAATTGGGACCACGTTGTAACAAAGCTCGGGCGAGGCACTGTCAGCGGCGGCCGATATCGTACTAATTTCCGGCCCCCTCGGCAAGCCCTGCCAATCCCCATATTAAACAGGAAGGAATAGCCACCCTTGTCTCACAGGATCCGAGCGAACACTGCAGACAAAGCTGGTTTTAGGGGGCTTTGGGGGCTTAAATTCATGCATGGGGCCTTCGTTAGGTTGTCTCTGCGCTGAAATGGGAACCAACAAGAAAAACGCCAGCCAAGAGATACAGAATCTGACAGTTGGAATTCAATGTCTTGGCCACATTTGGAGTCGATTGAAAGTCGCTCTGCGTAGAAAAAGGGACAACTGGTTCAATGGTTCATTTTGATCGATCTACTGAGAACTCATGCCATTAATCAATTGAAATGTTGAAAGAGGCTTAACTGTAGTGTCACCAACATGTCCGCGCTGAACATGGATGCAAGCCCTCCCTCATTTAAGAGATAGACTATGCAATTGTTCAGAGACAGTAGAGAGCTCAACACAGTACTCCTCCTATCGCCGTGAAAAGCTTTGTTTTCTCTACCTATGGGGATGGAAAGGTTCATTTTTATTCCTTGCGCTGCATCGAATTGAGGGTGGTGATAATGGAACCTTCCATACCTACACGCTCATTAGAAGATGATAACTGTTAGAACTTCCCAACGCATGATATGCCTTCAAAGCTTGGTGGTTCCCTTCAGGCATTGATCTTTAGTTGTAACAACAACATCCCGCTCTACGCATCCTCCTCCTGCTCAAGCTCCATCTTCTTGGCACCCTTATCCTCCGCCATGGTGATCTGGGCACCCAGGCCAGTCGACACGTACTTCTTGAACTCTCTCGTCTTAACGTTGGCCTGGAACATCTCATCCAAGTCCTCAAGCGAGCGGTTCTTGGTCTCGGGAACCATCAGGAACACCCAGATGGCTGCGACAACCGAGAAGGCACCGTAAATGAATGTGACACCGCCGCCAAGCTTGGCCTGAACGTAGGGGTTGACGAAGTTGATCGGTACCGATGTGAGGAAACTGCCCATTGAAGTCAGGAACAGAGTCTTTTCTCTGAGCTGGCCGGTGCCGATTTCTCCGGCGACAACCCAGCAGCCAGGGCCCCAGGTGATTCCGTAGATCGAGTACCTATTTTCCGGTCAATCAGAATATTCTGCAACTTTCGGCAGAGAAATCATCGCTTACCAAAGGATAAGCAGAGCGGCGGCAGCCTTGGCAACCGCCGAAGAATAGTGACCAGCAGACCCAGTTGCAGTCGCGGCGCCAGTACCAAGCATCATGCCAGCAAGCAGCACCGCGCCCAGAGAGAGCGATCGTCGACGGCCGAGTTTATCAAAAGTCAAGAACGTGATGAAATGCACCGCGAAACCGCATCCGGTGACCATAACGTTCGTTCGCAGGGAGTCGGGGAATCCAAGCTGCTGCATGAAGGTTCTGGATGAACGAGACACCCTGCGCCTGCTGGAGAATCTGCACGCTCATAGCAATGATTGTGCGACGCAGATTTACGCCCTTAAAGCAGTCATTCAGAGATGTGGCCTTGTGCAGCTCGCGCTGCTCCTCGACTTGGATTTTGAGGAGCTGTACCTCTTGTGCGATCGTCTCGGGGTGGTTCGAAAGCTTCCTGAGAACCTCCTCGGCTTCTTCGTATTTTCCGCGTTAGATGAGGTACCGGGGAGATTCCGGCAACAATGGGTACATGACGACGTAGCCCAATGGGACGAAGAGCTGGCACAAGATCACAATTCTGTGTTGTTAATTAGCAACTGATGGCAGTCGTTGAGTCCGTATGAATACTAACAGGTACTGCCATTGATCATTCCTAGTGCGCGACAAATAGACTGCAATCGCAGCCATGAAGACACCGAAAGAGAGGAAGAAGCTGTAGAGTGCCAGAAAGGCACCTAATTCACCGTCAGCTCAACAACCTTCTCTTTGATTGGCTATTCACTTACCTCGAATCCTCGGAGGAGAGCACTCGGAGAGGTACATGGGCGTCAGGTTCGATGCTAGGCCCATGCCCGCATAGACCATAATTCTCCCAACCACCAATTGCCAGAAGGACGTAACTGCAGACGACTCAAGCACAACGCCGGTGCCCATCAGAGCAGAGATGACCAAGAAGGACTTCTTGCGACCAAATCTCGAAGTGACAAAGGGCGCGAGGATGCATCCGATGATGATACCAGCCGAACCCGTACCCGTTCCGACAGACGTCTTCGTAGCGGGGATCGCGTACCGGCCGAGAGCGTCGTCATATTCGCCGTACTTCTTTTGGAACTGCGATAGGCCGAGCGCACCACCCCACCAGCCTGACAATGTCAGCTACTTGGTTTCAATCAACACTTGTTTCAACTTACCATTGTCGAAGCCGAACCCCATCGCGCCGAGGTTGGCGACGCAGCCGATGAGCATCAGGCGCCAGTTGAGGTCCTGGTAGAGGGGATCATTCTTGATTTGGGCCAACATCTTGCCTGTCGAGTTCAAAGGCTATAAAAAACAAACGAGCCTTCTCGCGCGTGTAGAAAATATCATGGAAGTTGGCATCATGAAGTCTTATATGGATTGAACGTTGCGTCGGAACAACACGGACTGACCCAGCTTCCCCAGCTGTCTCATTGCGGGGCCCCAAACCAGCTGATTGCTGCTTTCTGGGGTTTATCAGACGACCTTCATAGCGATGCGAAAATTCGAACTGCCGAATGAGGCAAGATTAAACACCTTGCCCGGTCCCGGAGGCTGGTAAGACCCGAGCTATGTTGGTTGACATGGCGCAACGTCCATGTTGTTTTTGAGTGGCCGTGCGGAGTAGATGCGGAGAGTCCTAAGCTTGTTAAGACGATTTGACAGTTTGTCTAGCTGCAGAGCGCGAGAGGTGGTTAATGTTTCCTTGTTCAGATGTGATCGGCACCATTTCCGTTGAGCGCATGCACAGGAATGACGCCAGATTCTGCCAGTCGTGGATTTACGAGGTTAGCCAACATCTTTTCCCGCGCGGAGGCTGTTGAAAGATGCAACTCTGTGGTCTCAGCGACCGCTGTGAAGCTTGAAATGATTCAAGGATCCACCGCAAGTGGGAGATTTAGGCATCGGCCCGAGATGACCGACACTAAGTCCACCATGTCCACAGACTTGATGACGATGATTGGTGCAACTCGCTGGAGAACACATGAAACCTCCACAAAGGAAAGAGACCCTAAGTCGGAAGCGAAGCATGCTGATTCAGTGGCAGCAACCATTTATTCTGACTAGCAAAACTCATGTTCGATCTCCAGCCAGACGTTTACTCCCCATCACAAAGAATGATCCGCTCAGTATTTTTGTAGCCTCTTCATGCGACCGAGCACCACCAAGAGCTAAAAAGAAATATGGACAATGGCTTCGAAGCCAAAAAAGGAATAATGTACTAATGAAATGAAGACAAAGTCCGATTCGCGTATTCCTACGCTCAGCAGATGTTCCTCGCGCCGTTGCCGGTTAGGGTCCAGTTGGTGTTCTCACCACAGGGCGACTCGCGAACGGTGGTGCCGTCGACCTTGAGGGTGATCCAGATGTCGCGGTTGTTGGGGAACTCGGAGCGCGCAGCAAGACGAACCTCGCCGCCGCCGTTGACGGTGCCGCCGCGGATGGAGAGGTTGTAGCAGTTCTCGATGAGGATGGCGTTGTTGCCGTTGCTGGCGAGGTCGACGGACGTGATGACGGCGGCGCCGGACTGCGAGACGCAGAAGACGCCACGGCCGCCGCCGCGGGAGACTACCTTGTCGATGTAGACGTTGGTGTTGTAGTTGCCGTTGGGGTTCTGGCCGTTGTTGTTCGCGAAGCGCAGGGTGCCGTAGCCGGTGCTGGCGCCGACGTTGTTGCCGTCGACAAGGCCGACGCGCGCGTTGGTCGTCTTCTGGAGCAGCAGTCCGGACTCGCCGACGTTGCGGGCGATGACCTGGTCGATGGTCAGGCCGTCAATGTTCCAGGTCTCGACGGCGTGGCTGCCGGCGCCGGTGACGCGGATAACGCCCATCTTGACGTTGGAGTTGGCGGCCAAGTCACGGTCGAAGCGGATGCCGAGGCCGCCGCTGAGGTTCATCGTGATTGCGCCAAGGGTCAGATCCTTTGTTCCGCTGAAGCGCAGTCCGAAGTACGGGTTGCCCGTCATCGTGAGGTAGGGGATCTGGACGCCCTGGGTGTTTGTAGACTCGATAGCGCCGCGGCCGGAGCGAGTGGCAACGTTGATGGTGCCGCAGCCCTCGAAGATCTTGCCGCTCGCGATGGTGATGGTGTTGGCGCCGATGGAGCCCGAGGCGATGACGGAGACGCGCTGGCCCGAGGAGATGGAGTCGAGGGCGGCTTGGATGGCGGCGCGGTAGTCCGAGCCGGTGTAGACGTTGCTCGAGCCCTTGGTGGCCGTGAAGGAGCTTCCGGACCCGATGACGCGGGCGTCCGGGGTGCCGGAGCCGCACTGGGCGGTGACGGAGGAGGCGAGCGCCAGCACCGCCGTGAGAATGGAAAACTTGGCCATTGTATTAGTGATTCCAGACGGCTGAAAGGTAAGGGGGTGTGAAGGATCGTGGGTGATGGTCTTTCTGCCCACTTCCGGGAGACGACACGGCGGCTTGTTTATATCATTTTGCGATCTAGTGGAGACGGCGAAGACGCACAATTGTCTTCCCCAGATGCGCACCAGTCTCAGCAGATGCGCCCGTAAGAAGCACTTTCGTTGGAGGACGAAATTGGGCCGGCCCCTTGAACCGGTAATGCACCCTCCGCATTCATTTACCACGAGCTTGGGCGCGGCTCACCGTGGGCTCCGGATCACCCGGGGTCACTCAGGTGTTCACGAGCTGTACGCCAGTCTAGGGCGCCCAGGTCGGTCGAGTGCTACACGAATGGAACTTTGACAGGGGCAAACAGACAGATGAGCTGCTAGTTTGTTCTTGGTGGCTTGCTTACTCTAAATTCTTGACCTTCCTGATTCATGCCTTTGAAACTTCCGTACCTTGGCTCACATGTTGCCTCTTGGCATTACACCAGTTTGGGGGCTTGGCATCGCTCATTGGCGGTCCAGCAGCGCTTGTTTGGCTGTCGTGGTCGTTGATTTCTGGCAGCTCTCTATGCGAATGAAACCCCAGTCCGCCGAATAAAGAGTAAGCTTGTTTTCTTTCTTCTTTTGCACTCCCCGATTCGTGCCTTTAAATGACGGATGTGGCTTGGCTCTCAAGTTGCCTCGCAGAGATCGAGAAGCGTGACACTCTATCCAACGAAATGTGAATCCTTGGCAGTACGGTGAATATGTCGCCATCCAGGGGAAACGTCTCAAATTGACAAAATCTTTTACCTTAGGCCTAAGCCACCTACAATTGTCTCACGAAGTCAAAGTCCCACTCTTAGCCCGGGAGGAGAAGAACGCCATCCGAAGTTCATCTCTCGACTCAAAGTGTAGGCAAGGTTCTTGAGTCTGGAAGCATCGGGTTTGGTGTCTAGGCTCTCGGTTCTTAATTGACCGCACGCATTATTAGGGGCAGACAATTAAACCAGTCGTATGGAATGGCAGACTCTATTAAGTGGGCTCCTGCACGATCCGCCATCCCCCGCGGTTTTTAATCTCATGAGTCTGCGTTGTTGCCTCTGGCATCGCTGGAAACTCGGGACATTCTGCAGTCTAACTTATTGACTGCCTTGTCATTTGGTATTGGGCCTGAAAAAAGCCGATTGACTTCGGACTGAAGCACAAGATTCCCGAGACCAAATTGTGGAGAGCGGTCCTGACAAGAAAGTGTTGAATTAGTCCGCCTTGGCATGCCAGAACCCCTCATTCGGCAGATACGAGCTCAATCCCAGAGCCGATGCAAACCCATCGCCAGAAGCCGCCATGTTGTAGAAATTGCCAAGGCGAACGTGATTGATCTTGGGGGCCAAGGACCGAACGGGAAATGGCCATGTTCTGTTTCGCGACGGGGTGCATGGTGTGAGCGTCGATCAGGCCCTGGTTTGTGCTCAGTATTCAATAACTTATGATCGCGATTCGGCGGTCGGCAGAAACGAGGCCGAAGGTCACGGCTCCCACCGGCAGCGCTTGATGGCTCCGAAAGAAGCTTATTTGGTCTTCAAGTTCTGTAACCTATTCATAGTCGACTGCAGTCAACGCGTAGATAAACATTTTCATTGCTAACGCTAATGGAGAGTTTTGCCATATCCTCTGCTGCTAAGTTTGATGATAAACAACAGCCTGACAATTGAAAACCCAAGAAGCCCCAATATCGCGAAGTAAACCGGTTGAACCATCCAAAGCAAGAGAGCCTATTGGCGGAACTCAAGGCAGCACTGTAGCTCGATGGGGCAGTAGTTGATGAGGATGGTTTACTAGACATATAGGGGGTGGTTGGAGTACGGGGAATCTCTCATGTATCCCCGTTCAAACAAGTATTTACAAAAGAATTCTTCCAAAAATGAAAACCCAAGAAGACTTGACCTCAACCAAAACCCTGTGAAGCCCTAATTCAACTCAACATATTGATTTCTTACCCGTAGCGGTTTCACGCTCATCAGAGGTCACCCCATCTTGGTCCTTACGAGTAGTCACCTTCAACAGATACAATTTGCTACCAAATCTCCGATTAACAATGAAACTACTCTTGCGCAGTAATAATGACAGTTTGATCAACAAGAATACACAAGCAGGAAGTTATCCTGTGCTAGGAAACCACCCGATCACTTCTTTTGAGCCGTAATTTGAGCGATGATTCGAAGTTATGCTTGCACCGCCCACGTATTTCCGATACGCGTCAAGTCCGTGACCTGCTCGGATGCGGGCTCTTCAGCGCGACACCATTGTGTCCATGCCGCAAATGATTGGGCTGCACTGCAATTAACCTCTGCGATGACCATGGATCCGCTAGTACATTCCTAAAATCAGATTTTGCAAGATAGAAATGAAGCGCAACATGAACCTTTATTACAACGCTGGGTCGAAGGGTGCCTAAGATCGTTTGTCTCGGATTCCAGCCTTTTACTGTCCATCGAAACAATCCAAACGATCCTGCTTCTATCATTGATCTTCATATCACCATCCAAATCACTTTTCCAGTCGCTACAGCACCAACGCACACCTCAAAAACGCAAAGACGACTTGCCGTTGTGCAAGTATGATCTATACCATCGTGTTTGCTACGTCGCTTGGCATTGTCACAACTTTCATCGCCAAAAGGCTTGCCCAAATGGCACACTCACTTGAAACAACGGCTGTCGACTTTCCCTTGGGGAAGAGTCCCGTAGCCACAGTGGGATGGGGCTACTACTGTAAGCCCCCTTTCGAAACTAAGTCAAAGCCGTTATTCACTAACCGGAATACAGATGCTGGATCATCAGAGCAGCAGCTTGGTCTGAACCCACGTCTTGTGCTTCAAAACAGAAGGAATCAACAGGTGATGGCCTACCATCGACGGTGTGCTGTTGAAGATGCAAATGCAGACTTCCTC